AGAATCATTGGGTATATTTTTGGGTATATTGGGTATATTTTTCAGTAAATCCTTTGGAGATTTTGTTTTTTTTATAGATTTGTAAACATGCAACTTTTATGACCAAATGATTTGTAAATTTTGGTGGTTTGGCCCATGGCACACTTACAGTCCTGGTGATTCTGCCATGAAAGTCCATGTTCAAGAACTTCCTGTAGGACAAGAACAACTCTATGTGCCTCTTTCTCAATGTTTCTGCTTTTTCACTGCTTCATGCAGACTTATAATACAGCTACAAGTGGTCATTCTAATATACAGGCATGGTCCACTGTTGTCACCATCAGGAAACCTGTAGAAAATGAGAAATGGTATGTAGCTATCACTGCTTTGCATACATGTACCCGGGAAGTGGCTTAAAAAAATGCTGCAAAAGGCCATAAGCACCAAGATGTAACAAAGGATAAAAAAAGTTGAAAACTCTTTTTCATTAAAAAAAAATATACAGGAAGCCACTAATGATTTTTCTTTCCAGCTGCAGAAAAAGGTTAGAAAGAAAATTACAGCTAAGCAGTACCCAGGCAGATAGTATGTGTCAGTGGAGAAAGTAGATGTCATAATTTCATGTTTGGCCAGAAAGTGCCTTTAAGTAAACATAGAGGCTGTCCGCTAATAAAACACAGTGATTGGGGAGGCAGGTTACTATTTAATTTAGTTTTCTTCTATTACTTCTCGTCCGTGTGCTTGATCTCCATCTGTGATTTGAAGCTGTCTAGCCCGGCCACGTCTCAGAGGTGATGTAACCGTAAATGTAGAGCAGTCATAGATGCTATCTGCCTCGGTCCCAGAGGCTGCCGCTTATACCCATCTAATTATTTCTTTCACAGGCCCCGCCAAGAGAGCACTACTTTAAGCCACACAGTTAATATAGAATTGGACGGATGACAATGATAGAATCAGATCCATCACATAGTCATTGCGTTCCGCAGATAAGGCTTCAGAATGGTCGCTCCTCTGGGATGAGATACTTGCTCGGTTTGATTAAACGCAACAACGGATGGGCAAAAAGAACATAGAGATTGGCACAAAAAACATGGTGTGGTTCAGCTGTGTGGGCATGGCAAATCCTGTTTTTTTTCTAATCTGTCAAATAAATCTTGTTTTAACTTTTCAAAATCTCTTTCAGCTAAGTGGAGTGAACGGTGACAAAGAACCTAGCTAAGCACAATTTGTAGCTAAAAAAATAAGATGGCTCCATTGAAATTTTAATATGTAGCTTACAAGACTTCCTATGAAATAAAATTTTTTTTTTGGCATCTCCATGCCTCTTGGGTCAACTTTCCTGGGATTGGTATCTTTGCACCTGTGTGTGGTCACTATGGGGTCAATTCACTAAGAGTTAAATAACGACTGAAAAAATGACGTAAAATACCATATGAGGTAAATCTTTTGGAAATGTGCAATTCACTAAGAATGTTGCGGTAAATAACTCTTGCGGTAAAATATCAGTATTGCGGTAATTACCACATATTTTCAAGCGGTAATTTAATTGCGGTAGCTGGTTGTTAAGGAAGCCGGCCGCCGTGTCCTTGATAACGGGCGACTCATCAGCTGCCAATGGGTTTCCCGCTGACAGCTGAATGTAAATAAACACACCAGCAATTCAAAATTATGGAAAAAACAGCGGGCCCCCTCCCCCATCCATACCAGGCCCTTCGGGCCTGTATGGGTTTTAAGGAAAACCCCATGCCAAAATAAAAAAAAAGGTCTGGTATAGATTTTTGGGGAACCCCACGCCACATTTTTAAAATAAAATGTCTTGGGGAAGATCCTACGCCATCTTTTTTTAAATTTTGGCATGGGGTGCCCTTAATATTCATACCAGACCCAAAGAGCCTGGTAAGGATTGGGGGAGGGACCCCAATGCTGCATCTGAAAAAAATACTGCATAGATACCACCAGAAAAACCCTGGTGATAAATATCGCATCTTTTTTACTTTCTGTTCTGTTTGTGAATTAGACTTAACAGCTTACCGCATGTTTTTTTTTTGTGATATTCTGCTATAATAAAGAGCGAATAATCTTTTTTAAAAAAAAAATTTTAATTGGACTTTTTTTACTACATGTGTTAATTTATGCAAATGAGTCACGTGACTATGTTATCACATGTGGTAATCTTTACTGATTTGACACCCTATGACTCCTCAGCATGCCATAGCTAAGATAGTCTGCACGTGCACAAAAAGTATATTCCGTGTTACAACTTGAGTTCTGAAAGTTGTGTTATTTACTAAAACTGGAGACAGTGCAAAATCCGGTGCATCTCTGCATACAAACCAATCAGCTTCCAGGTTTTATTGTCAAAGCTTAATTGTGCAAGTTAAAGCTAGAAGCTGATTGGATGCCATGCACAGCTGCTCCAGATTCTGGCTGCACCAGTTTTAGTAAATCTACCCATAGTTTATTGTAGCGATGGAAATTGGCTTGGCACATTAAAGCAGAACTTCACCCTAAAGGGGAAGTTCCACTTTATGCCTCCCTGCTTCTACTTTTGGAAATTTTTTTGGGGGGGGTGTGGGGGAGGGGGCAGGTTCTTGGTGTTGACAAGTGCCCACTCCCACTTCTGGTTGGATTTCAACTGGAAGTTCTCCCCCCCACCAACAATGTTCTAGGAGATGTAATAAGTCCTAGAAGGCCGTGAGACCATTCACAAAGTATGTTTCGGCTCTTGCATGCGGCTGTGGAGCTGCAAGGATATACAGCCAGATCCCTACAGTAAACATGCTGGCGCTGGGGACCTGAAGATCAGTGAAGGCCCAGGTGAGGATGGCGCTCGAACCCTGGACAAGTCAGTGAGCTTTTACCTTCTTTGATATGACAACATAGCTCTTTCCAAATCTAGTGGTGTCAGCCCTGCCTACTTCAGTTCTGATAGATTGCAAAGCACAGAGACCTCTCATCATCTCCTCCCCACTCTGTGTGCACAGAGAGCAAAATAAGCTATCAGCTCAAAAGATTTCTGGCAGGATCAACAGGTTATTTTATGTACAAATTTGCATGTACATGTCAAGCCACACTGTTTTTTTAAAGCACCCCTGATAATTGGCAGTGTGGCTTTACATGTATTTGCCAATGAATGTGACAAGGCACAAATTTGCAAGTACCTGTAAAAGCAATACACAGAAAATCTAACAAACATTTGTAGGCTGATCTCCAGACACAAAAGCTTTAATTGACATATGTTCCTTGATTGCCAGAGAGGATATAAATTCACTTCATATACACTAAACACTGTTGGAAACCCAGATATTACCATATAAAAGTAGCTGTGACGTCATCACTTTGCTGTAAATAGCTGAGCAGAGACATGGGAAGGGGCCCAGCAGGCTCCACCCTCTACAGGCTGCCTGCAGAAAACTACATCAGGGGGCGGAGATAAGACCAGTCATCCTGCACAAGGTGAGATAGCAGCATTGACTGGTCTTTATTATAGGAAGCTCCTGCATTTCTCAATGGATTCATGCACACCAAGATTCAAAATAAGAATACATGTCCCTTTTGTGTTCAGGAAATATTTCCTTATCCAGTCTATCCAAACTTAAAAAAAAGTTTTGGCCATGCTAATTTTTATTGCTATTTTACCTAAAGATAATTAAAGGAATGACTTGAATTGATAAATGGTAATGAGTGCTTATTGAAACTCTGGAAATATGAAAGCTTTGGAAAAATGAATTGACATGTACAGCACCAGAAAGCTGACATGGAGATTTTCATCTTTCTGAATCTAATCAGTTTATGTTCTTTTTTTTTTTTCTATAATGGTAATACAGATTTTTGTAGCCACTATCATAGCGCCACCTGCTGGAAGCAACCAGACAGTTCAGTATTTTCATCTAATGTACGCTGAGGTTCTTGCATCGTTCGATAAAGAAATTTTAATAATTAAACATACGAAAAGTGCTCTACTCCACAAGCATTTTAAACTAACTCAGAGAAAAGCATAATTGTACACTACGGGATAACTTTAATCTCTGAACCTGGTTGTAGACAACATACAGACACCAAAGCAGGAGCATGCGGCTTCCACATATATTTCCAAATATATGCAAATGAGACTGCTGTTTTTAATTTATATTTTAGAGGAAGTTTTTTTCCACCTGGCAAAACTGTCTACTGGGGACCTTTGTAAATTCACTGGTAGAGGCATGCCTCTTCTACATGCATTTATATTCTATTTTCCATGTAAAATAAAAAAAATAAGATAAAATAGTAAATAACATTTATATTAGCTATATATGACTTTCTATGTAAAATTAAAAAAAATAAGATCAGATAGTAAATAACTGTCAGGGCTCCCAGGTATGACCAGAGGTGTGTGACTGAAGCAGGGAAACGCAGACTTCAGATATGTGATTAACAATGTAATTTATTAACACTAACAATACAAACATAAACGCAGTGCAATACTAAACATAATACAGTGCAAACAAACCCAACCAACCACCCACAGATAACAGTACATACAAGCAAGCGTCGTCAGGCAGGCCGAGTCAATATCAATTGGGCAGGTAGGTACAGGGGGAGCAAGCGGAGAATGGTCGGGGTCACAGGCCAGGTTCAGAAGGTAGCAAGCAGCGTAGTACAGAGGGTCAGGCAGAGGGATGGTCCGGGTCACAAGCCAGGGATCAGAACAGGTAGATAAGGAACAGAAACAGGATGCAGGACAGATACAGGGCCCAGGACAAACACAACACCAAGGCAGAGTCTGCAAGTCTGGCCATCCCTTAAATACACCAGTATCATCAGTTCCAGGTGTTTAGCTGGCTGAAAGGTTGAGTCTCTGATTGCTGGGAGCACCCGCTGGCCAGCCCTGGTACTGCAGATCAAAAGGCAGGTGAGTCCCACCATTGCTGGCCAGTCCATTCCTGACAGTACCCCCCCCCTCAAGGAGCGGCCTCAGGACGCTCCAAACAGTCCTAGCTGGGAAAAATGTTCCACCGCCCGGGTCTGGTAACTGGCGGATATCAAAGACTGGCACACCGGGCAGGACTCCACGGGCAGCGGTACACCGGGCAGAGGCACATCGGGCTGGACTCCGGGCAGAGGCACATCGGGCTGGACTCCGGGCAGAGGCACATCGGGCTGGACTCCGGGCAGAGGCACATCGGGCTGGACTCCGGGCAGAGGCACATCGGGCTGGACTCCGGGCAGAGGCACATCGGGCTGGACTCCGGGCAGAGGCACATCGGGCTGGACTCCGGGCAGAGGCACATCGGGCTGGACTCCGGGCAGAGGCACATCGGCTGGACTCCGGGCAGAGGCACATCGGGCAGAGGCACATCGGGCTGGACTCCGGGCAGAGGCACATCGGGCAGGACTCGGGGCAGAGGCACATCGGGCAGGACCCCGGGCAGAGGCACATCGGGCAGGACCCCGGGCAGAGGCACATCGGGCAGGACCCCGGGCAGAGGCACATCGGGCCCCCAGGTGGAGCGACAGGTCTCGGGCCCTCAGGCGGTGGCGGCGGCGGGCGCCGGACCCCCAGGTGGACCGACAGGTCTCGGGCCCTCAGGCGGAGCGGCAGGCGCCGGACCCCCAGGCGGTGCGACAGGTCTCGGGCCCTCAGGCGGAGCGACAGGTCTCGGGCCCCCAGGCGGGGCGGCGGGCGCCGGACCCCAAGGTGGAGCGGCGGGCGCTGGACCCCCAGGCGGAGCGACAGGTCTCGGGCCCCAGGCGGAGCGGCGGGCACCGAGTCACCAGGCACGACAGTGGGCTCCGAGTCAACTGGCATGACCGCTGGCACTAGGTCAGACATTGGATCGTCTGACTGGACAGCGGGCATCGGGTCACCAGGCATCAAGTCATTTGGCTTGACAGCGAGCACCCGCGTCATCTGGCAAGGCAGTGGGTTCCGAGTCAACTGGCATGACCGCGGGCACTGGGGCAGACATTGAATCGTCTGGCTGGACAGCGGGCATCGGGTCACCAGGCATCAGGTCATTTGGCTCGACAGCGGGCCACCGCATCATCTGGCAAGGCAGTGGGCTCCGAGTCAACAGGCACGACAGTGGGCACCGGGTCATCAGGTACCGGATTGTCTGGCTCGACAGCAGGCATCGGGTCACCAGGTATGACAGCGGGCACTGGGTCACCACAGGCATCAGGTCATTTGGCTTGCCAGCGGGCACCGCGTCATCTGGCAAGGCAGTGGGCACCGGGTCACCAGGCATTGGATCGTCTGGCTCGACAGCGGGCATCGGGTCACCAGGTATGACAGCGGGCACTGGGTCACCAGGCATCAGGTCATTTGGCTCGCCAGCGGGCACCGCGTCATCTGGCAAGGCAGTGGGCACCGAGTCACCAGGTACGACAGCGGGCTCTGAGTCAATTGGCACGACAGCGGGCACCGGATCAGGTACCGGATCATCTGGATCAACAGCGGGCATCGAGTCAACTGGCCTAATAGGATCGTCAGGCTGGATCAGTTCATCATGCTGGGTAGAGGCATCAGGCTGAATGCCGGCGTCCGGCTGAGTAGAGGCTTCAGGCCGAGTAGAGGCTTCAGGCCGAGTAGAGGCTTCAGGCCGAGTAGAGGCTTCAGGCCGAGTAGAGGCTTCAGGCCGAGTAGAGGCTTCAGGCCGAGTAGAGGCTTCAGGCCGAGTAGAGGCTTCAGGCCGAGTAGAGGCTTCAGGCCGAGTAGAGGCATCAGGCTGAAGAGAGGCATCAGGCTGCATACAGGCATCAGGCTGAAGAGAGGCATCAGGCTGAAGAGAGGCATCAGGCTGCGTACCGGCATCAGGCTGAAGAGAGGCATCAGGCTGCGTACAGGCATCAGGCCGAGTACAGGCATCAGGCCGAGTAGAGGCTTCAGGCCGAGTAGAGGCTTCAGGCCGAGTAGAGGCTTCAGGCCGAGTAGAGGCATCAGGCCGAGTAGAGGCATCAGGCCGAGTAGAGGCATCAGGCCGAGTAGAGGCATCAGGCTGAAGAGAGGCATCAGGCTGCATACAGGCATCAGGCTGAAGAGAGGCATCAGGCTGCGTACCGGCATCAGGCCGAAGAGAGGCATCAGGCTGCGTACAGGCATCAGGCCGAAGAGAGGCATCAGGCTGCGTACAGGCATCAGGCCGAGTACAGGCATCAGGCTGAGTAGAGGCTTCAGGCTGAGTAGAGGCTTCAGGCTGAGTAGAGGCTTCAGGCTGAGTAGAGAGGCTTCAGGCTGAACCACGGAAGGCAGGCTCTCACCGGTTTGGATACTGGCAGGATGGTATTGGTTGGAAAGAATTTTCGCTTTTTTCTGGTTTTAACTACTGGAGCACTGCAAGTAAACGCAGGTCTGCAAACGAATGGAGCAGCTGGAGACAGAGAAGAACTGGAGGATGGAACAGGAGAGGGAGCAGTTGCTACAGAGGGCTTTTTTACAGGGTTAAAGGCAGGATAGGTGCAGCGAGTGGGAACAGGGTACTGACATGCGGTAGATAGCCAAGTATACTGGGCTGTAACTGGAGGAGCTGTTGGGAATACAGGAGTAGAGTTAGAAGCAGGACTGGGTTTTTGTAAGCTGACTGAGGCTGGGTGCAACAAGTCTGTCCATGTCTGCAGTATGGGTTGAACAAAGCTGAGCTTACACAAAGCCTGTCTGGTCAATGACTGCACTGCGTTTATACAATCTCTTAGTGTCTGTGGTGAACATGTGTAATAACGCTCCAGAAAGTAACCCACATCATCCTCTAATAACCACACCAGGGACTCTACCTGGTCTGCACTAAATGGTGGCAAAAATTCATCCCTGCATTCGGGGGTACAGATGAAACCAACTCTGCACAAACCTCAATCAAAGGCTGCACCTCAGAGAACTCTGTGCCCTGATCTACTAGAACATGAGCGAGCCGTATACATTCTAGCAGTTCATCCTGGGATACTCCTTCAGAGTTTGATAAGCATACTCCCTGTCATCAAACACTAGCAGATATAAATACACAACCTCATCCAGATCCATCCTTCCCATTAACAAGCCAAGATGGCTTCCCTGTGCAGCCACTTCTGGTCAGGATTGGCCTTGGTGTAATGTCAGGGCTCCCAGGTATGACCAGAGGTGTGTGACTGAAGCAGGGAAACGCAGACTTCAGATATGTGATTAACAATGTAATTTATTAACACTAACAATACAAACATAAACGCAGTGCAATACTAAACATAATACAGTGCAAACAAACCCAACCAACCACCCACAGATAACAGTACATACAAGCAAGCGTCGTCAGGCAGGCCGAGTAAATATCAATTGGGCAGGTAGGTACAGGGGGAGCAAGCGGAGAATGGTCGGGGTCACAGGCCAGGTTCAGCAGGTAGCAAGCAGCGTAGTACAGAGGGTCAGGCAGAGGGATGGTCAGGGTCACAAGCCAGGGATCAGAACAGGTAGCAAAGGAACAGAAACAGGATGCAGGACAGATACAGGGCCCAGGACAAACACAACACCAAGGCAGAGTCTGCAAGTCTGGCCATCCCTTAAATACACCAGTATCATCAGTTCCAGGTGTTAGCTGGCTGAAAGGTTGAGTCTCTGATTGCTGAGAGCACCCGCTGGCCAGCCCTGGTACTGCAGATCAAAAGGCAGGTGAGTCCCACCATTGCTGGCCAGTCCATTCCTGACAATAACATTTATATTAGCTATATATGAATTATGAGGTTAATATACACAGTAGTTTGTGTTATGACAGAATAGCGAACACAATAAAAAATAATAAAATTATTAAAGTGTATGCCTACAGTAGTGAAGACATGAAACCCCTGTCTGCATACCACTGGGAAAATTCCCTTCACTTTCTGTCCAAGAGATGCAAAAGGAAGTTAAAGAAAGAAATTCCCTCTTAGACAGCTGTCCCCAAAAAAAGTGTCTCTATTATAAGACCTCCCCTTACCTCTTTTTGGGGAATAACTCTACATTTTTAAATTCTTCTCACTTTGTAACACAGGTCACCTGTACAAATGAATGGGTGAAGCTCCCCAATGGGGACACAGAAAATAATAATAATATGAAATTGAATTTAACCTTCCTCACTTCATCCAAAACAAAAAAAAAGTTTCACCTGGTTGTTTTCCATATTTTAAAATATGGGCATTTTATTAAAATAATAGCTGGTGATCCTGCCATGAAGGTTCCTGTTCATACACTTCCTGTTATAGGGTGACAACTGCTTCCAAATACTCCCCTAGCACTCTCAATTCCATTTCCTATAGAGACTACAAGTGGCCAAATGGACACACATTGCAAATGGCATGGTCCATCGTTGTCACTATCAGCCAGTGATATGTAGCCAACACTGACGATTAAATAGGGAAGAAGTGACTGAATGATGCTTTATTAGATCAGTAATGCTGAGATGCACAAATGAATGAAGAAAGGTGAAAACTGAATTTTATGACAACCTGGCAGTTGTTTATGATACACTGTGTGTAAGCAAACCAAATGTCATCCATTTAGGGTTTAGCGCTGCTTTATAAAATTTGAAGTATCAAATGTCAACCTGTATTTTGGTAAAGGTCAGTAAACTGAAACCTGGACTCAGCAGCAGTTGGATTTTCCATTGTATTTACAGGAAAAAGGCAGCAAAAATATTGAGATACCTTATACAGCAGGAGAATGAGTTACAACAGTTCCGACCACTCCACTTCACGCCTTCCATCTCTGCTCCACCAACCAATGGATGTTGGCTATCAGCAGTCCATGACCCACTAATAATTACAGCGTCAAAAACAAAGATAGAGACAGTCACCTTCTAAAATTCCAGAATAAATGTTATTGTTGTTATCCAGTACAAAGGTGATCCACCTGCTGCTTTTGTTATGCACTTCACTGTGCTAGGAGTTTAGTCACCACGTATTTTGTGTGTACTTTATGACTAAGCTCCTAGATGAGTGAAATACATAAAAGAGTCAGTGAATCACCTTGGGACCAGGTAGCAACAATAAAATGTATTCTGGGATTTTAGAAGCCAAGCGACTCAACCTTTCATTTTTATGCTAAGAGAAGGAATAGGTGCAATAACATGAGTGGTTGGTACTGGGAACTTCAGAAGAAAGGTGCTTCAGAGATCGTGGGAGATGTAGGAAGCCAATGCAATATTCAGAACATACCAGTATATTTCCATGATTAAAATATCAGTTTTGGGTTGGCTAGTCCATTAAAAGCTGTTTCTAAACATACATTTAAATAAAATTACATTCTTCTAGTATAATCTGTATTGCTGCCTTGGTTCTGTAGCGTAAATAGAATTACTTATATTCAAAGTCAAAAAGCCCGGGCATGTACTGCATGCTGCTGATTGCAACTTGTCTAATCTCTGTGCCAATCTGTTAAATCAGCACAGCAATTTTTGTGTGTTGGCTATGTGATGTGTGATGTCAACTGTCTTCCTCCACATTAACTTTCTCTGTATGGATCTGTATGTGTCTGAAGACTGCAAAGGATGTAAGGTGAGAAAGAATGAAAAAATAATCATGTTCTATGCAGTCTTAAGCTACTCATATAGCAACTGCAGAATACACTCATACACAGAAAATTCCAAGGAATGTCTGTTGCTGACAGCAGCATTCACAAAACAGGTTTGTAATAATATGTAAGTGGAATGAATAGCTAAAAGAAGAGCTCTGGCTCTTAGCTAGAAGCCCTGAGATATATATCTTGCTTGCATTAAACTGTTCCTTCAGGATTCCAAAACTGCTGATCCTGTGAAGAAATGCCTGTGTGGTAAGTTTCTTCAACTCAGCTGCAGGGGCTGACTGACTGTTTAGGCACTCGGGCACTGCCCGAGGGCCCGGGGTCAGTAGGGGGCCCCATAAGATGCCCCTGGTAGCTTTTATATGATTTTTTTTTTTCGGTGTGGTTTGAGTGTAGGCGAAGACACAGGTGCCACTTGATTTCCTATTGCCCGGGGGCCCCATGAGTTGTCAGACCACCCCTGCTCAGCTGACATTGGGATAAGGAGTGTTTTTAAACTATATAACAGGCTTTTTTAGGGATCCTCAGTCAGATCATTCTTTTTCTAACAAGAAATCTTTCCCATAAGTTTATTTTTGCATTTAAAATATTCTAGGCATGCTATTTACCTAGAATATCTCTTGTGTAGACATTCAAAATCTCTAAAACTTTTGTTGGGAAAAGAGCAGTGATTCTGTGCCAGAACAAACAGTAGATACTCCCAAAAAGGGAGAGGGCTATGACACATGCAGGCAGGGAGAGGGTGGATTGTGCTAGGGAACTGACTCTCAGCCTCTAAGGCACATTGTAAGTCAATAAAAAAATATTTATGGATAGCTTTATGAAAAGAAAAAAACTGTAAATAAAAAATGTAAATACTTGATTTTTTAATTTACCAGCAATTTTTTTTTTTTAAGTTGGTGATTGGATCTCTTTGGAAGGACCTTATCAGGAAAAAACAATGGTAGCTGACATTACTATTTGCCTTTTGAAGTTGTAAGCTTTAGTGCTGTCACTCTCGAAGAACAAGCATGTAGGCATCCTTCTCCTGGATAAGTGAATCATTAGGTAGACTTGGAACATTCAAAAAAGTCAACAGTGAAAGGGGCCTTGGACTTTCCATGTTCCCTTTAATTCATACCAGGTCTTCTGTAATAACTTACGTGGACTTGCATATGGAAATCCCTTGTATGC